AAAAAAAAAAAAAAAAAAAAAAAAAACACATTAAAACTTCAAATCCACTGATGCCCAGCACGCGCACAGCGTGGCCTCAAACGTGAAAAAAAAAAAAAGAGCAATAGATCTTTATGGGAAGCTTAGGAACGAGTAACCCTCGGGGGTTAGGGGTCGAATGTCATTTGGGGGCCTCAAATTTGCCGTCCCCCTCTCGTTCTGGGAGTCCATCTCGCGCAACAGCAGCACAATGTGCCGAGGAGGGCGGAAGCGCGGGGCAGGCAGGCAGAATGACGGGCAGATCCTCCTCAAATGGACTCCACCACCAGCCAGGCCTTACAATTCAGCCTGCACTCCACTATTAACACAACTCAGCCCGCGCCAATGGAGCTCAAAGAGCCAGCTTGGGTGTTTAGCTCAAATATGAAGCGAGGTGCGCAGGTTTAAAAATAACTTTGGTTGGATGCGGGGTCGAAGGGATAGAGAAGTAAACCACAAGGAAGAAGCACTGTGCTGTCATGGCGAAAAGAGGACGCCACCAGACGTGACCCCCCTCCTAAAGCATTCTGGGAAAATAATTACGTCAAAACTTCTCAATCACGCAACAAACACTACACATAGAAAGACATGTACGCCTCGTGCGTTAGCTTTAAACTTCAAAGGATAAGAGCGGCTACATGAAGAAAATGGCTACAGTGAAGGAAGAGGAGGAGGGGGAGGTTAACCCCCCACAGTAGTTTTTTTCTTTTTTTTAATAAACTTGACCTACCTTTGACGCTTGGGTACAGAATGCTCCACTTCCAGAACTTTCCCGTGAAGTTCAACTTTACCTAAAAAAAAAATTAAACAAAAACAAAAAAAGACTTTAAAATGTGTTCTCGCCACACGCCATTACCATCTCATGTTTAGAAAACGTAGTGATTTGCTAGCAAAATTTAATGGGGAGAGCTACAAAAAAAAAAAAAAACATAAAAACACGGTGGCGTTTTTTAAAAATTAAGGAGGTCGACTTTTGTTTAAAATGTGTTGGAGCGACGAAAAACAAAAAGAGCCTTTGAATTTAAGGGCGTAAGAAAATGACAAGTTCAGCTCAGCTGCTCTTGTGCGAGCTTGTCTAACTTTTCATGGCCGGCTGGTTTAAAAAAAAAAGACGAGGTGAAAGAAACGAAATAAGTGCAAAATGAAGGTGTAGCTTCCAGCATGTTTGGCCTACATTTTGACTAACAATTAAACCACCTGGTGTTGTCAGCACGAGCTCTTCACAATGAATGTAGCTGCTGTGGCCACAGGAGAAGGCCTGAAATTAGTGGAGGGGTTGGAATAAAAAAAAAAAAAAAAAACAGCAGAAACACACACTCCTCGTGCTTATACAATGAGGTTCACTTGTCGGCGTGCCCCTGAACGCCTCACGTACGTAAACGCCTCACGTTTGGGCTTAATTCACTGCAAATGACTGATTTTTCTACTCGAAACCTGAAGGAAGTTGTTGGGTCTGAGCGCACGGTGTCAAAAGGCCAAGTTGTGTGTGTGTGCGTGTGTGTGTATGAGGGAGAGAAGAAACAATTGTATACCCCCCACCCACCCACGCAACATTACAACCCTGCAGCTGACATGCGTTTCACGCAAGGGCCCCCCCCTCTTAAAATACAACCACAAGAGTAATAAAGAGTTTTCGTTTTAAACTAGTTATTTATTTATTTTTTTAATTTAAAAGCCGCTCACCTGAAAGCACATCGATGGCCCTCATCGCGGTCTTCTCGTCGGGGCAATCCACGAACGCATAGCCAGTTTTGACCAGAAACGGACCACTGTGCGGAATCTTCCACTGCTTGAAGACACTTTCCAAGTCCTCCTCGCTCGCCTCTGCGCTCACGTTACCGATGTATAGCTTATTCATGTTCCACGCAGGAAGGAGAGAAAGAGAGAGAGAGAGAGGGGGGGGGGGGAATAAGAAGAAGGGAAAAAAAGAAAAGGGGGGACAATTTACGCTGAAAGTGTGCGCGCGGCTGGGAGAGACAAGTTGCTCGCTCCCACGGAGGTTGCGCTGCGTTTGGAGTCGCCCCGAACCGTCCTGGGTTTTTTTTCTCTCTCTCTCTCCCTTTTTTTTTTTTTTTTTTTTTTACTACTGTGGCGTGCTTCCCGGTCCTTCAGAGCCACAGATTTAAAACTGGCAAGCCTCGCGCAGACAACTCAGTCATTCAGTGCGCTCCCCTCCCTCTCTCTCTCCCTCTCCCTTTCTGTGTCGCTAACGCGCAATAAATAAATGCTCAATTATTTATCTCCAAAACGACGGCGGGGTAGGGGTAAGAGGGTGAGGAGGGAGGGGTGAGGAGGAGAAACTACTTGGTGTCTCCCTCCCTTTAAAAAAAAGGGGGGGAATAAAAAAAAGAAAAGAAACCTCTTTGGCAAAGAGTCAGAGAATGTCACACACGGTAAGGCTGGCGCCCGCCTCTCAGTGAAGAAGAAAAGGAAAGAAAGAAAATCTGCTATTCTGCCCCCTTTTTTTTTTTTTTTTTGAATGAGCCACGTGTTCAAACTACAAATCAGCCCACACGTGAGAAATCCCAATTGCTTCAATTAAGCGCGGCGAGTGCTGCTGGGAGGAGAGAGACAGCAAATAAGGGAGAAGAAGAAGAAGAAGAAAAAGCAGTTTCGGTGAAAACCTGCGCGTAAAGGGAATCCGTGAGAAACATGGTGTGTGTGTCTTTTACTAACATATCCGTGTTGCCTTTCTCCGCACAAGCCTGCGCTCCTATTGGCCGGCTATGGCTCACGCACGCGCACAGCGGGGGGAGACGCTGATATTGCGGGGGGGTTGCGCACGGGTGTGCTGATGACAAGGGAACATAAAGGGGGCGGGGCCGTTCATTAATGAGGTTGCATTTATGGTGTTTAAATAGTTGGATTTAAAAAAAAAACATTTCGCATCTTCGCTATAAAGGGAGGGACCCCCGCGTACGGGAGGAAGGGGTGGGGGGGTGACTCCCGCAATCAGGGACTGACACGTATGCTAAAAAAAAAAAAAAAACCACATGACGGCGTCCATCTTTTTCCAGGCAGCGAGCGTGGAGCCGTGCCCTTTCTGATCCACAGCTCAAAGTCCAACAGGCCTGATTTAACAGTGGTCTCTCACACACGCACAGAAAAATTAAAAGCAACACTTAAGGAGGGGGGGTGGGTGGTCTTTAACTCAGCTACTTTAAAAAGAAAACATATATTGCAGGCTGCAGCCACGAGGAGCTCATGGCGGATCCTCTCTTGCTATGGATCTGAAGGGGAGGGGGGTCTCCTGCTCCAGTTCCCCCTCAGCCCTCCATATGACCCACTGCACCTCCATATGAAACATTTAAATKAAAGCAGCATGGATCCCACTTAAAAGGGAAAAGGTCACGTGATGGATGAAAATCTCAGTTTGAAGGTGAAAGGTCAACCAAAGCTGAATCTGTGCAGTTTCTTAACAAAGGCCTTAAGGTTATTCACTTTAATGCTTTACTTTAGCATTATTTTTAGGTTGAACATTGTATTGCGTTTTTGTTGTTTACACAGTTCCCAATGGGTCCAGTTTAAAATTAAAAACACTTTTCAGTTTTGCACTAAAATGCATTATTATCTCCTATATGCGTAGAATTTTTAACATGTTTTTTTTTCTTTCAAACATCTAATGTGTTCATTTTTTATTAAGCTAACATGTGGATTTCCAGTGAAAAAAATACACTAATGCGTTAGTGTGAATTGCGTTAAACTTAAAATCTAAGTCTAAAATCTTTTGCATCCTAAATTAGCCCCATAAGGAACCAAAATACATTTCAATCTTAATGATTTGCTTATAGGGCTCCATAGAGCTCCACAGTTTGAGTTGTGTTTAAATATGCCCACGGCCTGTTTTGAAAGCTGCAAAAAATTTCAGTTCCTGTTTTATGTCATCATTCAGTTAGGGCCCATTCTATGCCATGCTGTAATATGTCGGCTACATGTGTTTGCAGTAAAAGTGCTGAAACTTACATAACAACATTAACTTTCACSTCGTTCTCTAGCAGGCTGAACGTGTTTTATTGTTGTCTGTTAAAAAAGTTTCAAAAAATTAAAAAAATACTATTTTCACTTTCAGTACAGCAGCTCTACTCTGAGATGGAATGATAATTCTGCGTGTTTTTTTGTTTGTTTTGTTTTTTGTTAATGAAAAGGTGCAGCACAGGTTACAACCAGGGAACGTTGGCTCCACGGCTGTCTGGGTTTCCTCCTTTCTGCTGATGAGCAAACACACCGCCGCGCTCTGATTGGCTCCTGGGATCAGCCAATCAGGGCGCGGTGGAGTCCCCGTCCCCCCCAGTCGTCCCTCCTCCTCCATCGCCCCTCCCTCCTCCTGGCTGGGCCTCAGCGCCGCGCTCTGATTGGCTGGCCCGGATCCACATATTCTATATGAATCCGCGCGCCAATTACACGCCTTTCCCCCGTGTTTCCTCTTCAAGTGCCTGACTTTTTCTTTCTTTTTATTTATTTATTTTTTTTGTCGTTATGAATCATATGGAGTCGGACGAGGCACGAGCGTTAAAACCAATGGAACGGCTCGTTTCAGGAACTTTATTAATATGAATTTGTTTACTCAAACACTCATGTAAACATATTAGTCAAGGCTTAATAAAACCAGGTGTTTTTTTTCTAATTATTGACCAGCTTTTCGTTCATTTTTTGACTTATTATCTTTAAAGTTCTCCCCTTAAAAAGACTCCACAAAACTTTTTAGGCCGASCTAAAAACCTAAATATTCACTCTGAATGGATCCTTAAAGGGAACACAAACATGGGCTTTGTGTTGATGTGCTTAAACTCGGACATTTTTTTTCCCCCCAGTTTTATGAATTTTATTTATTTGATTTGCAGCGCGTTTGCAGGGGAAAAAAAAAGAAGATGCAAGTGTTTTACAATATGGTGGCTCTCTGCATGGCCCTGTCGGTTTAAATGAACTGATGCATGGCTGCAGCCTGTGTGTGTGTGTGTGTGTGTGTGTGTGTGTCTGTGTGTGTCTACAGGAAGAGTAGTGAATGTATCGCTGAGGAATGTACAAAACCCCCACTCTTCTTTTTCCTCCTAGTTTCACTTCTCTTTATGGACACATTCCTATAGGGGGTGAGGGGGGCGGGGTTCAGAGCAGTCCTATATGTTGGGGAAGATTTGTGCGGTTCATGTCCCCGCGGGAGGGGGGGCAGAACTAAAGGGTGAGAGAGAAGAGAGAGGGAAGGAGGAGGGGGGGTTGTTTAAGTTAAACGCAGCTTATAGCCCAACTTTGAGCTGCTGTTGGCCTCACTCCAACATATAGTCYCCAAGCAAACAAGAGAAACCAGGGAAGTTTTGTTTTTCCACCCCTCGGTGAGACTGCTTTTATTATACATTTATACATTTCTATACACATAAATATATATATTCGATGTAAAACGTGTAGCTGTGTTGTTTTGAACTGAACCCAGTTGAGTGACCGGCAGCAGCACGGTCAGAGGGAACTCCGCACGCCATGTTGAGGAGATCCCACAGAGGAGTCCATGCGCCTGTTTTCTGCCCCAAATTGATCATTTCTGTCGCAAAAAAAAGAGTGTTTTGGAATTAATACTCGGAAACATTAGAAAAGTTGGACATTTAAAAAAGTAGAGGTTTGTTTTGTCTTGAGAAGCATGCAGCTGAGCTGACACCCGTCATCATGATTCAGAAAATGGCGGCATGTGTCCCCCCTCTTCATTAAGAAATAAATAAATAAATAAAAAATAAAGGGCAGGAAATATTTCTCCATAGAATGAGTTACCGGTAATATCAACTGGGAAAATACCTCAAACTTTAGCTGTAATCTTGTAGAGTTTCATAAAAAAAGTCACAGGAGAATAAAAAATAAACCTAGTTTTCCGTCACTTCC